AGTCAAGCAGGATGTTATTATTATGACCTTCTACAGTGTTCCTCAGGCAGAAACACTGGAGTCCTATGTGTAAACAAACATCATTTATTTAGTAGCACAACTGAAATGGAAGAAAATTTATAGCATATTGTGCTGAATAGGCGATAAGTACAATTTGCAAGTGCATTGTCAAAACCACCTTCCATTGTTTCAGTGGGAATCTGGCACTAGCACTTGTGCCTTGGAGGAATATAGGCACACCCCCAAAATCCAGTTTATTTACATGTTCTTTAACCAGTGGAGCTTAGAGACCTGGATGTATTTGAAGATCAGTGAAACATATTGGAAGGCATTGCCTGTAGGTGAGAAGCTGGTGTCACGGCCAGAGGAGAGGATGCAAAGCCAAGGGGACAAGGGAGTGGCGTGGCTCTGTAACACAGAGGTGAAATGAGAAGTGGGGGAGAAGGGCAAAAAAGATAAGGCAGAAAGGCTCACTTCCAAAACACTGGGAACCACTATAGTACAGGCTCATGGATATAGAAATGTCTGGTTTGATTTAGGCACACTGCCAGCCAGTTGTGTCCATAGGCTGTGCTTTGCCAGATTGAACTTCGACTTTTCTTTGCAAACTTGAATGGCAGACCACAAGAGACTCATGACTATTCAATGCATAAAACATAATCCTACTTGCAGAACAAGTGTGCTTGTGCTGCCTGCTCTGGGAAAAGATACTAAATCATTCCAGTCAACAACATGATAGTTCTGTATAATCCCTCGCATAGAAAATGGGGGCTCAACTTTGGACTTGCCAATAAATGATTTCTGGGTTTGAAATTAGATCTATAATGTTCAGTGATGAAAACACTGACAGCTTTGATAAACTCTCCCTACAGGACAGACTCAGAGGAAGCCAAGTGATCCAGAATTGGTTCTATGACAAATCACTGGGGAAGGAGGAAGGGAGCGCAGCGAGGAGAATAAAACTCTGCTTGCTATGGTGTTAATTTAATCCTCTGTGCAAAAGAAGTCCTGGGAGAAAAAAAGCACCACCATAGATAATGATTGAAAATTATGGAAAATAAATCAGCTTTTTTTAATTAGCAGTTGTACAGTGTAAATTCCGGAGCTTGCAGGGCTCCTTTGTGAGCCTGAAGTTCTGTTCTTGCAAAACTTGAGCATCAGAAAACAAGCCAGTAGCATCAGAAAAAAAAACAAAATAGGTTTTATTTCACTTGATTTAACAAATCTAACTTCTCAGACTGAGGCTGGAAGTTTTCTTTTGGGCACTCCTTCTCAACAGGCAAATGAAAATCAAAGGCTTGGAACTCAGGAGAGTGCATACCTACTGTGAAGGGTGAGATCATGTGTAAAATGTTTACAGCAAAGCTAATGCTATGCAAGAAGTATGTCAAGGAGGGGTTTATCCCACTGGGCTACAGCCTAGTCTAGATCTTTCACAGTGACCTTTTAACTGAAAATCAAAAGCATTACAATACAAGGCAGAGAATCAGGGTGCCCCTAAGGGAGGCTTTGAAAGTTTGTTTGAGTCCTCAGAAGCTGCAGGCTGCAGTATCACTGTCGCTTGATTTCTGTCACTGCTTGCCAAGTTCATTATCCCTGATTATGCAGATAAATGTAAACCTGCCTGTGCATCCCTTTGCTCTTCTTCTAGGATTACTGGAATTGAGAGTCACCATATGACAGTCAGCTGCTTTTCCTCCCGTGTTCTGGGAAGGCAGAGTTGAGCAATGTGTTGAAATGATGTGAAGGAAGTTTAGCTGCTCCATATAAAGGAGGGATGTCATCTATTTCTGTCTGAAACATAAAGATATCAAGGTCCAAAATGTGGTGCTTCGAAGAATGTTGTTTGAAATCCAGTGCTACTTCCTCCTCAAAGCAAGTAACAATGACATTTGACAAGTTTTAATTACAGATTGAGCCTCAAGGCTGGAGTCTGAGTTTATCATTTCAGCCAGTTACAGCATTAGGCCAGTGGTTTTGTGGCAATGGTGTTATAGTTTAGGTCAAGTGCAACATCCTGTTTAGGATCTTCAGTTGCTCCGTTTATTTATATCATTTGAAGTGAATGCTGTCATATTTTTTTCTCTCATTAATAGAATATACCTGCAGTTGAGTATGAGAAAAAATGGGAGGAAATACATTTCATGAGCTGAAATGTTTGTGGAAGGAGAAGGGATTTTTATTTCTACTTCAGTTGTCCCCATGAGTGGATAAGAACAGTCGAGTGAGAAGTAAGATATTAAAACATCATATTACTAAATCGGAATACAGCTTAAATGTCAGTTCTACAAACAGTTTTTGTACTAAGACTGCCTTAGAACGGCATTGAAAATACCAACCTAAACATTGTCACTGCTGGTGCCTGAAACTGGTGTAACTATTAATGACATAGCTGAAATGTCCTCATTATAAAATGCCAGGATGACTCTGCTTCAACTGTGAAGAAAAGAAATGACAACTGCAGGTTTGGTGCTGGTTGTAACCTATAGTGTAACCTGAGCTAGAACACAGCGAGGGCAGGAGAGAAGAGAGCTACCCAGGAGCTCTGCTGTGACCCACTCTGCTTTGCTTACATGTTTTCATTTTTTAATAGCCTTCATTTTTCAAGGGAAAAGTACTATTATTTAGGATTACCTTGAGCTCATTTTAAGATATACACAAACATCCCTTATCCTATAAAACCCCAGAACAGCTGAACACCAAAACAAACAACAAACCCCCCTACCCAAGCCAGTCAACTTCGTAAATGCTACTTTCTAGTACGTTAAAACAAATGGTGATTTTGAACTTTCATTTGGGCTTACCCACTCATTTCCTGCTCCTGGCCATTGTGATTGTGGTATTTAGTTCTGCAGAACCGTGAGCCATTTAGATTGACTGTGCAGGTGGACAATATCTGGCAGTCCAGGACTGCAGGCAGCCTTAGGGAGTAACCGTAACAACTAAGACACTCGTTGTAGGTGGTCTAAATATGGCTGCATGTGTATGTAGGCATGGTGAGTCTTTGCTTAGTGAACGTTTCCAAGCAAGTTATTTGTTAAATGAAGGATTTTGCAGACTGTCTGCAAATGGGTAAGAGATAAACTGGCCGTGCACAAGACATATTCAGGCTTTGTGATGACCAGGACTACAGCGTGAGATGCTGAGAGGGATGTGTAGATCTGACTATTTCATATGATCTTTATCTGCAGTGGGCATTTCCTCCATCTGTATAGGTGCACCAGTGTAAATTTTGGTGTTTTCAAGCGGAAGAAGCTATGCTGGCACGAATGACAGCCTACAACAGGTTTGCCCTCACTGGTGTGGCTACACAGGTAGTGGGAGCAAACTGAGATGGGCGATGCCCATGGCTAACGCTCTACAGGGGCAGGTAGAGGCACTTTTACTAAAACAGTAGCCTTGTCAGCACCCATGGGCACCTGCTCACAGCAGCCTGGGGGACAGTGCAAGCACTGGCTTTGTTTATAGAACATGTCCAACATGATGTTACGATTCTCCTTGAGGCAAATCCCAGCCCATGTCCTTCTGAGGCTGCAGCACTCTGGCTGGCGCTGCCTGCTGTTTGCAGGCTACGCTCGGTATCCAGCGCCTAATGGGGTTTGACTGAAATAAATAAATAAAGGACCCCTCCCAGGCAGATGGTTTTTGTAAAAGCAGACCTTCTGCAGGGCTGATTTAGAGCACAGGCACACAAAGCGGAAAGCGTTAGAGAGGAGCAGTGAATGGGAGGAAGTGATTTGAAAGGGGTGGGGGCTGGATCCCCATCAGCCAGCTGTGACTCTGACACAGGGCCATTGCCTCACTTATTTACACAATCTGAAGCATTTTTTTCCTTATTACTGACATTTTTGCTATCACTTGGTGGTTTTCCCCATTGACTTTAACCACGCTTTCACCAGCCTATCAGCAAAATTTCTGGTGGCTGTCTAGATACCATCAATCCTGTTAGACTTTCCTACTTGTTGTTTTCTGGATGCAATTTAACATTCCACATTTTAAGAAGGCTGTGTTATATCAATATTTGTCTTCTTTTCATGGTAGCATCCCTAGGAAAGCGTAATTCATTTGAATAGGATGATTGCAGTACCTGGTTCTATTTCTCCCTATGAAATACATCTTTACTGCTGGGAATTTTGTTTTTCCTGTTTGAATGAAGAATAAAGTCAACAGCCTGAATGGGCTGCAGGTGAGCTGGGGTCCTTTTCTTAAAGGATTCCTTTGCTTTCTCATTTATGGAAAAGAAGAAGATGAAGATATGGAGATGGCAGGAGGAAAATGGAGTGGAAGTGGAGGAGCTGGAGTGCAGCAAGATGAATGGATGGAGGAGGCAGAACAGGTGTCAAAACCACATTGAGCAGAGTTTAGCTGGGACAGAAATACAAAGCAACTGGTGGGATGGACTGTGGTAGCTTTCAGGAACCCTGCCTGATAAAATACAAAGATCATCAGCCAAGCATGTGTTTCAGGTTCTGTAGCCCAGTGCCTTTTTGAATCTAATCTGCATACTTAGTTTTAATGAAGACTTAGCTACTGTGATTGTAAAGAAGAGCTTGAAGTCATAAAAAGAGCAGAAATGCTGTAGCAATTTGCACCTAAACTTGCAGATGAAATCTGAATGAGGATCCAGAAACACATGTTGCCAGGAGCAGATGAAGGTCACCATGCAAGAAGGGTGCAGGCAGCAGCACCATAAAGCACCGCCCTGTAACGTAGGTTGAAGAATTCTCTAAAGAAGAGGGAAGAATTTGCACCTCTGTGCGGGCTGCAAAAGGATGAGGACGCTCGGGATGTTGCGTGGCCGTCCGCCTGAGGTGAAACCCAGGCGCGACCAGGATGGGAAATTGAGACGGGGCACGGAGGGATAGGGGCAGAATGGAGCCAGAGGCGGGCGGCGGGTGCGGGCTTAAAGACAGAGCAGGTGCCGGACCTTGCGGGGCTGTGTTGGGCTCTCTAGGTGTTGCAGACGGAGCTGGGAGATGCGGGCTGGTGCCGGGGATCAGAAGCGAACCGGACCGGGGGCGGAGCGCGGTGGGGCGGCACCTGCGTGCTGGGACCCGGCGGCGCCGAGCCCGGCCCCCTCGGCGGAGCCGCCAGACGGCGGCGGGCCGGGCCGAGGCGCTGCTGGAAAGCGCATCCCTCCCCGCTCCGCCCCGGCAGCCGCGGCCATGACCGACAACATCCCGCTGCAGCCGGTCCGGCAGAAGAAGCGGATGGACAGCAAGCACCGGAGCGGGTGAGCCGCTCCGCTCGGCGCTGACCGCGGGCCTGGGGCCTCGCTCCTCTTATGGCCGCCGCCTGCGTTGCGGGGGACGGGCGGTGCGAACCCCGCTCCCTCCCGCCTCGGGGCGGCGGCGGGGCCCGCACTCCCGGGGGTCTTTGCGGGATGCGCGGGGCTCAGCGGAAGGCGGGCGGGAGCCGCATCTGCCTGCGCTGCGCGGCCGCGGTCCGAGGCTGGAGAGACGAGGAGGAGTGCGGGAGGGGGGGCAGGCAGGCAGGCGCTGACAGGTTGTTCCTGACGCCATTGCCGTGGCACGCCCGGGCGGAGGGCAGGGTTCTGCCGGGCGTTGCTGCCGCCGGGGCTGGGCAGAGCGGAGCCGGCCATCGGGGCCGGTTGGTAGCCCCTTGCGTGGGGAAGAATCGGCCGCTGTCCTCATCGCCCTGCTCCATCGGAGCCCTCCAGACAAAGCAGTGCCGGGGCGGCGGGGCCGGACAGCAGGCGCCGGGCGGGGAGTCACCGGCGGCCCGGCTCGCCCCTGCACGCGGTCCGGCCCTGAATTCCCGCTGGTGCTGGAGCGAGCGCTCGGGCTTCGCTGCGTTGGACCAGAAATGGTAGAGCTGTAACAAAGGTCTCTGTCTAACTGTAGCAGTTAAAGCAATACAGTATCCTTGGTGTGTGGTGGTGCAATATCCCGAGCATGGGATGTGGTCCTGAAGGAGGTGGTTATGTGTGTTTACACTGGTATTCTCGTGCAGGGAGTTAAATAAGAAAAAATAAATGATTTCTTACTTTCTTTTAGGAAATTGCACCTCTATCCAGGCAGGTTGGTTTGTACACAGTGGGGTGTGCAGGGTTACCTGGCTGTCAGTTATTGCAGTGCTTCATTTGTCCCTGGGTAATTTGGTTTGGTTTTTAAAATGTGGTGAGTGATATTAGTCAAATGAATCAAAATACCAAAGGGTAGCCTGACTGTTAGAGCAAGATGAGATTGATACTTGTTTATTATGTGTTTGGCTGATATTTTCTGATTCCTCTAACTGCAGTTGTTCTACGTAGTTTATTCATTATTAGAAATATTTCTTATTAACAGCATTGTTTCTTGTACTTGATGTAGCAATATCCATGCCAGCTGATACAGAGTTGGGAGGTGTGTGTGGTGCAGCAAGTATCTGTCACATGCATCATTGGGCAAGTTCCACAAAGGTGCAGCCACCATGGCATTAAATTTAGTGATGTGATTGAAAGGGATCAGGGAGAGATGGAGGCCTGAGAAATTTCTCAAAGCTTCTTGAATGATTGCTTTTCCTAAAGTTCTCTAATCTCCACCAAGTACTTGGGTACTCTTGGGTACTACAAGTGGTTAGTAATGTCTAACAGAAATTGCCCTCCTCTAACCTCGGCTATGCTTCATTGACTGGGGACTCTAGCTGATTAGCAGGCACAGAGATGATGTTACCAGTGTTAGCAAGAAATTCTGGTAGTTGTGAAGGAAGATTGCCTAGGAATTTTCTCAATGGCAGTCTGAATAATGTGGATTTGGGGTTTCCCTTTGGTTCAGGAACTCTGGGGATCGGACTTATATATTTGGAACTTCTGTTTTACTGATAAGTAGCCAGCCTGTGGTATGTTAGTAGTTTGATTGAAGCATAGTGTGGATAGTAAAGCATTGAAGTCAAGTAAACCCAAACCAGTATGATAAGCCAAAGAAGAAATTGACCAGCAAGTCAGGCAGCATCCCTAGTGTCCTACTGAGGATGGACTCCCGGGAATCCTAAGCCATAATCAAGACCTTATTTCTTCTGTTTATGCTGAGAAAAACCCAAAGAGAAGCCTTCTAAGTTATGTCCCTTGATACATATGAAAACCCAGGGATAAGAACGTCTTAAAGGGCTTCAACTTAGCATAGCCCTGACTGCAGTTTCTGCAGTGGGGGCAAGTTCTCAGGACAGATATTTTTGTCAGTGTTGTCTTCTGGAGTGGCAAATAGATTTCTGTTCATGTACAGAATGACTTCATAGAAATCTTCTTGTTTGTTAACAAAAAAGTAAGAAATGCCTAATTCTTACATAGGGCAGGTGTCACCCAAGCAGAGCTTTCATTACAGCCTAAGACTGTACTGTGCTTTGAAGAGAAGCAAGAGAGGAACTCACAGTATCCTTGCAGAGATGCATGATGGTACAGATAGCTGGGATGTGTTGAAGAAAAACCATGTGCTTAATAAACCAGCAGGGGACATGGTTATCTGTTCCTGAGCATAACTTTAATGTGGATCTTCCTTGTTGCAATCAAAGGCTAAGCTCAGAATTCTGCAGCTGGATGCCTTGAATTCAGCCATATCCTTCCAAATACATTGCAGCCCTCTGAAAACCACTCTGAGGTATGTGCCAGTGAGGAGGGATGGATAGCATTAACTGCAGCAGGACTGCTTGTGGGATGGCATGCGAGTCTGAGCTTCTCAGGGGCTGAGCTCTGCCAGGGAGGGAGCTGCAAGTTCCTGAAGCACCCCAAGTGCTGTGTTTAGTGCATGACACAAGTTTTTCCCTAAATAGCTTATGTCTCAGTCCACAGTCCTGCAAGGCACTCTTTTTGAAACCAGCAAACTGCTGTGCTTATGCTGCATCTGCAATGGAAAAAGGCCTTGATCCAAAAATGTGGGGGGAAGAACGGGGAATGAGACAGGGAAGCAGGAGCTTTACAGTAACAGTTTGGCCAGCCCCTTGTATGTGAGTGTATTCTGGGTCTATTTAAGTGGCAAATGCCTTTTCAAAGTCAGCGGAGAGAGATGGTTGCTCCTGCACATTGGTGTGCCTCCACACGTGTGAAGCTGGGCTGGTTTCCCACAGACAAGCTGGTTTGTACCACTGTTCTTGGTGGATGGGCAGGGGTGGGCTGCAGGAATAGCAGTGCTTACCCCCAGGTCTGAAATGGGGATGTTGGGATCAAGTAGAGGTGCAGAATAAAGCTATGTAGTTGTGTATGGCTCTGGTTTTTAATCGCTGGAAAATTCTCTATATACTTTTAAAATAATAAAATGTGGAAGGTTGGTTGTGTATTAAAGGTGCCAAGAACTTAACACACAGCCTTTGAGAAACGTGGAAACAGCATTGGAGAAGAGTACTTGTTGTAGGAGTGATAGAATCATAGAATGTTTGGGATTGGAAAAGACCTTAAGATCATCTAGTTCCAACACCCCTGAAATATGTAGATGAACTTCAGCACTAATTTGACAAATACTACTTCCCATTAGACATATATGACAAGTTTTTGTTTCCATTAGTTTTGCTTATGAAAGCATTTTTAATTTGCTCTCTCAAATACTTCTCCATCAAACGTGCTACATTTATAAATAAAACCTGCTTCTTTGCATTTCCTGTTAATCTAGCATCTGACAGTCAGTCTGTCCCGTTACTTTTCTTACCTCATCACTAAGAATGTGTTTTTGTAAACAAATACAATCCCAAGTTAAATAGACAGTAGATGTGCTCTTCAGCACCTCCTGTTCATTCAGATCCCTGTGCAGGTTTAAGGGCCGTGTCACTTAGAGGGCTCAAAGCTTCAGATGCAGTTCACATTGAAAGAGATGCTTTTGAGTGGTTGCGACTTTATTTTGGGATTTGTGAGTTAGGCTTTTTTATTATTTTTGCCATGGTATGATTTAAAATGTGAATAACAGTGTTGGAAGAGCTTCCCCATATAAGCTGCTTTCATATAGTTTTCATGTTCTTTCTATAAGACAGTAATTTTAAGAAGCTCATGGTGTACAGTGACTTACTAGTTTACTGTACTTGAGGGGCTGTTGCAATATTGTTCTTCAGTGCTTCAGCTGCAAAACAGCAGAAATGTTTAGGAATGTGTATGCCTCCTAAACTTTTATAGAAGACTTCTCACATTTCGGTAACTTTGTGATTCCCATTCCTGAAAAGTGCATGCTAATTTTGTGAGCCTCTCTAAGCAGCAATGTAAACTCTCGGCTGTTTTTTTTTAGATGAGTTTTCTTTCCCTTTCAAGGATGTAGTCTTCTGATTCTGATGGGAAGTATTTTATTATTCCTAATAACAGCAATAGTTCTCTTCTGCCAGAAACAGCCAACTTCCACCAGTGACACTGACTTTGCTCTGAGCAGAAAACTTTGGAGTAATGTGATGGCATGAGCAGCCCCTTCCCTCCTCATCCAGGTCTTTAAGCTTGATACCCAAAATAGGGATGATATCCAGAGAAACAGTAGAATCACAGAACTATGCAATGGCTGTAAAATTCTTTGGGAATTTCTTCTTGGGAAGGAGCAAGTAAGTTAGCTGGCAAAAGCTGATAGCCCCGGTCACAAAAGGACTTTCTGTTTAATGAGCACCAGACTAATCTGAAAACACATTTGTGTTCTTTCTGTATGTGCTCAGAGTTCTTTGTTTCTGGTACCCCACTGAATGGATTTGTCAGAATAGGTTTTTTTTCTCGAGGTTAGGATTCCAGAGGAGAAAGGGAAAAGGAGGCTGTCTGAAATGTTCCTTGTTAGGTTCACCACCCATCTTTCTGCCTCTTCTTTACTCTTGGTACAAGTTGTGTTTTGTCCTCCCAGCAGTGGGCACCCCAAGTCAGATATTTAGTGACACAGCCCAGGACTTCAGCCCTCAGCATGGCTGACTCTCCCCGCAGTACGAGTCCTTGGCACCTTTGAGAGCTTTTCTTTGGCTCCTGTGAGCACACAGTAGTCGTGCAGTGCAGGTGAGCACTGGGCTTTCACTGTGTCATACCGTGTGTTGTGCTAACACAACCTGGTGCAGTAATAAAAGCGGCTGTAGAGACCAGTGTTTACTCACATTGCAACATCAGCACACATAAGGCAGAAAGGGTTCAGGTAGTGAAGCTGTGCTGTCTGAATGTGCCCTGGGTAGATCAATGAAACATGCCATTAGTCTGAAAACAGGATCTGCCATTGCAGCCACTCCCATTTTGTGTAAAGTTTTGTAAGGGTCACAGATGTCATAGATAGGATTTTAAAGCAGGACTAAGGACTTAGT